CCTCTCTTCCTCCTCCCCCCCCCCTTGTGCTATGGTAAACTAGGGTTTGTGCAGAGCTGATTTAGGGCGCCACAGCAAATGGTGGTTTGCTTAAACCAGGAAAGAAAGGCGGGCATTTGAGCACACAAGGAGAAGGCAGTTTGGCCAAGTACCTGGCCTTTGGCTGTTTTGGATTGGCTCAAACATTTGTCTGTTATGACCTTTCCCCTTAAGTGTGGGATCTGGATGCTCTGCAGTGCAGGATTCACATGGTTTTCTGCACTCGTGCTTCCACAGACCTTCAGGCATGTAAGCGCCTCTCCCACGAGCACCTGGAGCCTCTTGAAAGCAAGGTCAGGAACTTCTCTGGCTGGAGTTTCCAAAGATGCCCAGCCAAGCCAACAAAATCATCTGAAAATGGGACCATGATGGGGGATAGAGTTTTGCCGGCTGTGATTGGGGAGAAATCCGCCTCTGCTTGCACATGTGTGCTTGTGCCTGCTGTTCCTTTAAGGCGAGAGTGGCGAGGGTGCTGTGCACTGGTGCCAGCTTTCATTCAGAAGCGCCGCCGCTGCCTCCTCCCCACCCCACCCCCCCTTCGGAAAGTTTCCTGCCGAATTGTTATGTGTGATCCGATCTGAAAGTTACTCTCTAAGCTTCTTGTCACATTTTGACTTAATGAAGTGCAACTGAAGAGGGAATTGGGGTTCATCACGCCAGTCTCTCTCTACTCCCTTGTTGTCAGAAAACAGGGGCGGTTGGGGACCGTAATGCAACGCTGAAAGTCGTTATCATTCCGGTCAGTCTGTTTAACACAAAATTAAACAAAGAACTAATTAGTGCCTCATGAATTAATAAATGCGCAGTTGCTGGGGAGGAAGAAGAGCGGGGGGTGGGTGGGAGAAGGTTGTTGGAGAAAAGATATTGGAAAAAGTCAAATTAGGAGGTGGCAGGATTGGAAGAGGGGTGAGAGGAAAGCCGAAAGTCCACTTAGGCAAAAATAAAAGTTTTGTACTCCTCGTCGAGGCTGTTCTGAGCAATGCAGCTGAGACCAGGGAAGTGACTTGGCTCTGACAAGGGTCTGGTGAGCTGGAGCTGGGTTCCAGAGAAGGAATACATATTTATGCAGAAAGGACTCTGCTTCCAGCCCATGGTGGCTTCTGGAGTCAAGAGTGAGGACTTCGCAACTGCGGTTTTGCAATGCACCTTGCCTTCCGAGGTGGTTTCAGGGCGTGGTTCTGGTTCAGAGCACAGAAACCCAGAATCCTCAATATTCTAGAAGCTTGCTTAAAAGAAGACCAAGTTTCTAGTCCCTAAGGCTGCAGAGAGCAATTTGAAAGTGTTTTCTCAGGGCAGACACAGCCCCGTGGTTGTAATACCTTCCTTTTCCTATCAAGGCTATTTTCTTCCTCTCTTAAGACTCTTCCATCAGCTTCATAAAATCATGGAGTTTGCAGCAATAACAGAACCCAGGCTAAAAGCTGGTTCTGTTACTTCTTTCTTTTTTCAAAACAGAGTTTGAGCATTGCTGTGGAAGATATCTCCCTCCGTCCCCCGACATGGCGAGGAGTTGGCCTTGCTTACGCACTGGGTGCTTTGTGCATATGCTCAGAGGCACTCCTTCCTAGTATTGCTGCTTTGAGCATTCCACATCTGAGGCCTAAACTTGGAGGCGCAAGTACTAGGGAGATAATAACCGTAATAGCAAAAGCAGTAATGTATTGTCACAATATAATTGGGGAAATGCAACATTACAGTTTTCATTATTACAGTTATTAGCTTCTCAGTATATTTTTGAGGGTTGGATTTCTCGTGCCTCCAGTTTTCATATTGTGGTTCCATCCCCTTTGGGGGGGGGCAAGAGGGGGATGAGTGTTTGAGGCTTAGCGTTGGAAGGAGTTCCTGGAGCTTGAGTGTTGAATTCTACCTGTAAAATGTGTGTAACAGCAGGCCTACCTACCTCACAGGGTTGTTGCCTGAAGGAAACACAGTGAAGTATTCAACAAAGTATTATTATTATTATTATTATTATTATTATTTATTGTTATCTATTAAATTTGTATGCCACCCTTCATCCAACAATCTCAGTGCAATTCACAGCAAAAAAATGCAAGTTACAAACACAAAATACGTAATAAAAACGGGCACAGAAACAAAACAATAACTCCACCAGTGAGTGGAGTAGTCAGGGGAGGAAAGACCTGAAGCGGCAGAGAAGTGTGTGGGGCAGAACAACAGGCTGTATTCAAGGCAGGTGACCCCTAACCTGACTTTTAAGTTTTAACTGCCCCAGAAGTTATATACACAACTTTCCTGCATGCTCTCTCACACTCTCTTAGGTAGCTTAAACTCTGTCTTCTCTGGGGGCCCCATCCCATCGCTTTTGTGCCCACCATACAGTAAAACGCCCCCAGATTTAGCATTTCTCCCTTTCTAAAGGAGCACGGGATGCATTTCCTTAAGAGAACTTGAGTCTGCCACAATAGCAGTTTTTAATCCCCGATTAACATTGCCCCAGAAAGGGACACACACATGTGTTTCTCTCTCTCTCCCACCCACCCAGCCATCCCACCTCTGGGTTCTTTTTTCTGTTTTGGGGTGGGGGTGGGAGTTGCAGCCTCCCCCTTTCTGAAGCATTAATTGAGGGTGCGTCGGCAGAGGAGGTTTGGCTGGGAGCCCTTGTTGCGTGGAACGGTTTTCTGTTTGTTTGTTTTTTGTTCGCCCTGCCGCCCACCCCGGCTTCTGAGCTGTGCCCTGCCCTGCAGATACGGAGCGGATCCTGGCTTCCGAGGCTGTCTCATTGTCAGGCAGAGCTGGGGGAGGAGGAGGAGAGTCCATCCTTAAGAGGACATGTCAAGTACAATTAGCGTTATCTGTCTAAATATGTGCTGGGAACACAGAATACAAGCGTAGGCCTGGGTGGCTTTAATGGAGACATATGCAAGGTCAGACCGCCTCATGCAATCCCCCAATCTGATTTGGGGGGATTACACATTCTAAGTAAATTGGCGTTATTCCTCTTGCATCATTGATAAGCCGCGGCCAAAATAATGGAGGGGTGGGAGGGGGGAGAAGGGGGCTGCTGGGCCATTTAAAAAAAAACAAAAAACACCCACCCAGTCTAGCATGGGGTGGGCGGTTGCGGAGAGAAAGACGGCTGCTCGCAGGCAGGGATAGAGGAGGAAGAGGCGAGAGTCAAAGGCGGAGCAGAGGGGAGAGGAAGGGAGGAAAGAGATGTAAAGGCAGCTTCACCAGCACCAGAATTTGCTTTCCAAAGGGTTGGGGCTTTTCCCTCAAAGATGTGAAGTTGTGAAGCAGGTGGTGATGGTACCTCTGCTCACGTGCAGAGTACTTTCCCCTTACCTCTAACTTGCTATGCCACCTGCTCTCTGATGCTTTAGCTGAGCTTACAGGGCAACACTATTGGGGCCGGGGAATGCTTTTCCTGGAGGGAAAGGCTAACTGACCACGATGGCTGCGCTGTGTCTCAGAGGCAGTAATCCTTTTGAATGCTAGTTGCCAGAAACAGCAGGAAGGTTCCCCACAGGTGTCTGGGCAGTCACTGTCAGGACACAATGCTGGACTGGATGGGACCCCTGTCCCATCCCCTTCTGCAAACAATGAAACCTTTCACACCCGCTTTTGTCATGAGCAAGGCCAAAACTGAGCGCCCCAAATTTGATCATCTCAATTTTCCACCCCTCAGCTTGGCGCCCAGGGTGGTGTGTGTGATCATCTTATTCTGTAACCCAGGCAGCAATGATCAGAACAGCCATGGCTCAGCAGTTAGAGCCAATACCCTGACTCAGTACAAGGCCCCTTGCCGCTTTCCATCAAAATGTCTTTGGTCAGCCCTGCTTTTCTGGCACAGAGGTGTGTTGTTGTTGTTGTTGTTTAGTTGTTTAGTCGTGTCCGACTCTTCGTGACCCCATGGACCAGAGCACGCCAGGCACTCCTGTCTTCCACTGCCTCCCGCAGTTTGGTCAAACTCATGCTGGTAGCTTTGAGAACACTGTCCAACCACCTCGTCCTCTGTCGTCCCCTTCTCCTTGTGCCCTCAATCTTTCCCAGCATCGGGGTCTTTTCCAGGGAGTGTCCACTAAAAACTACCCCACCTTCCAAAACCCTGCCCCAAATTATTTTGTCACCTAGGTGAGAGGGAGGCGTTTGAGCCTTTCTTTGTCCAAGCTCAGCATGAAGCTCCTAATCTCAGGGAGATAGGTTCAAGCTCCATTTTGAGCAAACCGCTCTGCATTGCAGGGGGCTGGACTAGATGATCCTTGGGGTGCCTTCCGACTCTACAATTCTAACCTGCTGTGCAGAATATAGAGCAAAAGGAGTGTGACAGGCCCACGCCAAGCCAACCCACACACTGTTCTCTGCCAGGGCAGAAGCATCCCAAGCCATGTCAAATGAGCTGGTTGGAGGATACAATATGGAACAGGGAGGGGGGGAAGCACATAGCTCCCCGCTGTCGATGGGAGTAGGAAACCTGCTACCAGCTGCTTTCTTTACCAGCTGGTTCTATCATCTCTGTCTCTCCCCCGCCCCCCGCCAAGTATAGGGAGACCCCCATCCGGAAGTCTCACAATATTGCCTTTTTTTCCCTTCCTTCGGCTCTGTCACACTTTTGGAACATATGGCTTTAAATAATTCAATTTACTTTGCGTGGTGCTTTTGTTTGGTTTCCCCCCTCCCCTGCAACTGTTGTTGTTTTTCTACATATTTCTTCGCCCTCCTCTCTCCCTCCAGTTTTTACTTGAGTATGCTCAAGTTTAGCCCATGCGCAGAAGGGGGAATGACACTCAATCTCTACGTTGCTCGGAACAGAGAAGATAGGAAGCTGCCTCATACGGAATCAGACCTTTGGTCCATCTTGCTCAGTAATTATTGCCAGTAGTAGTATTTTATTTACATGCCACTCATCTGACTGGGTTGCCCCAGTCACTCAGTCTTGCCTACACTGACTGGCAGAAGCTCTCCAGGGCTTCAGGCAGGGAGGCTGCCCCAGACCTACCTGGAGATGCCATTGGGAATTGAACCTGAGAGCATCTGCATCCAAAGCAGATTCTCTAACCGCTGAGCTACAGCTCTTCCCCATGTTGTGCATGTCCTACTGCAATGAAGGTTTGTGAGAGCACTTCTGATGGATACAGAGCAGAGTGGAAAAGGGAGGAGGTGGCCAGAACGGAGGGATTTCCTTCTCCCCACCCCATCTGTCATTTCAAACTGTGGCAACTTACCCCCACATTAAGTTCAGGAGTCAGTGCTCCTGTTGCACACCGCTTGTGCTCCCACGTCAGTGGTGAGTGCGCCACAGCTCTTCCTCTTTGTGCAGCAACCCTAGTGGCTATCCCATTATTCCCTTGCACCAACTGAGGGGTCTGTGTGGAACATGGTGCCTTTTAAAAGCAAAGGGTTGTGTGCTACTGAGTTCCGCTCAGAGCAGAGCCATTGAAATTTACAGACCTAAGTTAGCATGCTTAGTAATTTCCACAAGGCAACTCCAAGCAGGACTTGCATTGGATACAACCAAAGTGGTGTAGTGGTTAAGAGCGGTGGACTCGTAATCTGGGGAACCGGGTTCGCGTCTCCGCTCCTCCACATTCAGCTGCTGGGTGACCTTGGGCTAGTCACACTTAGAATCATAGAGTTGGAAGAGACCACAAGGGCCATCGAGTCCAACCCCCTGCCAAGCAGGAAACACCATCAGAGCACTCCTGACATATGGTTGTCAAGCCTCTGCTTAAAGACCTCCAAAGAAGGAGACTCCACCACACTCCTTGGCAGCAAATTCCACTGTCCAACAGCTCTTACTGTCAGGAAGTTCTTCCTAATGTTTAGGTGGAATCTTCTTTCTTGTAGTTTGGATCCATTGCTCCGTGTCCGCTTCTCTGGAGCAGCAGAAAACAACCTTTCTCCCTCCTCTATGTGACATCCTTTTATATATTTGAACATGGCTATCATATCACCCCTTAACCTCCTCTTCTCCAGGCTAAACATGCCCAGCTCCCTTAGCCGTTCCTCATAAGGCATCGTTTCCAGGCCTTTGACCATTTTGGTTGCCCTCCTCTGGACACGTTCCAGTTTGTCAGTGTCCTTCTTGAACTGTGGTGCCCAGAACTGGACACAGTACTTCAGAGACTTCTCTGAAGTCTCTCAGCCCCACTCACCTCACAGAGTGTTTGTTGTGGGGGAGGAAGGGAAAGGAGAATGTTAGCCGCTTTGAGACTCCTTTGGGTAGTGATAAAGCGGGATACCAAATCCAAACTACTACTACTACTACTACTACTACTATTCTTCTTCTTCTTCTTCTTCTTCTTCTTCTTCTTCTTCTTCTTCTTCCTCCTCCTCCTCCTCCTCCTCCTCCTCCTCTTCCTTTGTCCTCTCCTCCTCCTCCAGCTGCTATTCCATTCATTCCCCCCTCTCCTGCCCCCATTCGCTGTTGTGGGAGCCAATTGCGAGGGGTGCAGAGTGGGGAACATCCTGCCATGCAAGTGCAGTCCTTATGCCTGGCTTCCGCTGATGGGGTTGGTTAGGTGAATCCCTCCCAAAGTTTCTAGGTCCTATGAACTTTGATGGGTGCATTCTGTTTCTGATTGAAGGATGCCTTTGGGGTTGAGGCCACCGGCAGGCAACAGAGATGCAAGGGTAGAGTGTTTTTGCCCACCTGCCTTCTCTGCTTGTTTGCCCCAAATGCAGCTTTCAAATAAGAACCAGAATAAAGACTGTGTGCTGCTCCAGCAAGAACATCTGAAGCGGACACTCTGCCCAGCTCCTTCTGCCCAGGAGAACTGCTGTATTCATACCTTATTTATAATAAATATGCATATTATCTCACCTTTCTCTGCAAAGCAGGTTCAAGACACATACAACAGAGGGGGAAACTTTTAAAAGCACAATGATACAACCATAAAATACAATGAAAGAGCAGATCATTAAAATGAGGGAGGGTCAACAGAACAATAAAATGGCAGAGCCTAAAAGATTTTAACTTTATAAAAAGCTACTCAAATTCTGTGCATGCCAGATGAATTGACTGTGAGCTACCTGTGGATCTCACAGTAATAATAATATTAACACCAAGGTGCCACTGGTCAAGTCAAAGGCCAGAGTGGGGAGAGGGACGCTTACTGCAATGGTAAACCCACCCATTTTCTTTTGCCTCAGTATATATAATGCTAGCAGTAGTAACCTCTATCTCATTTTTCCCTCCTCAGGATGAAGTGACTTCACAGCTTTAAAATAAACCCAATAGCGGAATCTGATTCCTGGTCATCGAAAGGTAGGAGAGACCACCAAGACCACAAATGGGTATGTCCGCCCACGCGGGTTCTTTTTTTCCTACCTTTCTGTGTTTCTGTGGCAAATTGTTGCTCCCGTCCATGTGGCTGGTCTTGTCTGTGTGTTTTATGCCTTGTTTGTTAGCAAAAGAGTCACAGCTAGCGACGCAGGGAAGTGTCAGGCACTGGCGCAACCCCTGTAAGGTGTGTTGCCTCCACCTTCTCCAGCGTAAATGGATGGTGGACCAATGGTCTGAATGGTAGACAGGTCAAAGGTCTAAATTAGAACAAGGCAGCTTCTTCTGTTTACAGGTGGCAGAACAACCATCCGTAGCTCAGCGGTAGCATAATATGCTTCTGTTCATGCTCCACAACCAATGCTAAAGTGAGCTTTCTCACGGGAAGGGAAATATGAGAAACGCCATCCACACAATCACCATCCAGGTCAAGAAAAGCACTGTGCAAAAGGGGGGGGGGTGTCATACAACTCATGAGGTCAAGACATTTGTCACTGAAACATTAGTTTCCTAACAAATTGTCAGGGAACGGCAGTGTGGAAACCTGGGTGCTTTGGAATTGTCACCTGTCCAAATAATCGCTGTCCCCCTTTTGTCACTCTTCCCTCCCTCAGCCCTCCCCAAAGTTCCATTTTCTAAAAGTGGCCAATGCCAAATTTCACACTTGGTTCTCATAAAGTGAGCTAGTAAATGTGAGACTGGACAGTGGCACTTTCGGTTCTGCTGGTGGTGGGAAGCAGCTTGCATTGTCAAATACTCCTGCACGGGGGGGGGGGAGAGAAATGATGCACATTCACACAAAAACGGTTTAGGGAAAAGCGAAGGAATGTGACTATGGCATTGCTTTCCATTCCACCCTGTAGTCGCCACATGCAGCACTGTTTCTTTTCCGCTGCAGTTTGTCTTCCACCAAAAACAACATTTTGTAGTCCGTTGTGGGAAGATTATGTAATTTAAGTAATTTATGTAATTAGTTATGTAACTGGCCTAAGTTTCATTGTCTTTACATTGTTCCACCCCATTCGTATCAGTGCAAAGGAAAGACGTTGAAAATTTGGGAGCTGAGGGGACGTAATCAGTTACGGTTTTGGGGGATGGAACGCAGCAACAATAAGTGAATACCAATCATATTCGCTGAATTGATTTTCATTCCCGGGACAAATAAGCAATCTCTGCAATTCCCCTTTTCGGCAGAATGCTCTGACATCCCTATTTGCAATAACTGCCAACTCTGTAATCACTTTGCAAACTTTAGTTGCAACGCATCCAGAAATTGAACACACAAGGCAACTGAGGCCTACTGAGGTTTTCCCAGATGGCATTACCTTCTTGGTCTGCCCTCTACTCTAGCCAGGTGCCAGCAGAGCGAGTGCCTCCCCCCACTTCTCTCCAAACTGAGCATCTCAGGAGAGCTGGGCCCCGCAGTGTCAGAGGTGACCGGTGGAAGGCCAATGTTATGTAAATATTTCTGCTGCAACATGGTGAGGAATGAGAGCCAGCCTTACACATCCATCCATCATCGACGGGATGGGCCTCTCTGGAGCCAGCATGGTTTGTATGGAAGTGGCTGGCAGGGGAAGGGGGGGAGACACAGACAGAGGCAGCAAGTGCCCCCGCTCATAAACTGTTTGTTTTCCTTTTTGTCCCTTTTGGTTTCGGGGCACCCCACTGGGCACCCGACTCTTTGCTTTGTCTGCACAACCTCTCCACCCACCCGCTTGGCCCTTCGCTCCACACGCACCCCCCCCCACTTCTCCCTCTCAAATAAGATCTCTCCAGGTTTTTTTGCATTTCGGCTTCTCTCTTTCCAACTTCAAAGGTGCCCCTTCATTGTCTTGGAATCGGCAGGCAGTGGCCCTGAAACGCGATCACAGCCAGGCACGGTGTAGGTCACCCCCTGAGCACCCTGCCTCGAGCCTTCAAAGGGATGGGCAGATGCTTCCCTTTGCATGCTTCACAACCCTGGTTACAGCTCTTTCCTCCTCCCTCCCTCCCTCTCTGGCCTCCATGCCCCCCTTGCTGCATCGCTCTGTCACCACAGCTCAGTTCTCAGAGCATCTGCTTTGCATGCAGAAGGTCCCCTTCGGCTAGGAGAGATCCCAGTCTGAAATCCTGGAGAGCTGCTGCCAGTCAGTTTAGACAGTGCTGAGCTCAATGGACCAAGGGGTCCAACTCAGGACCAGGCAACTTCATATGTTTGTAGAGCAGACTGTACCACTTCATTTTGCAGGTGGGACATACCATTTGGGGAAGGGGTGTAGATCAGTGGTAGAGAGCCTCCTTTGCATGCGGAAGGTCTCAGGTTCCATCCTTGGTGTCCCCAAGAGGGGCTGGGAGTCCACATGACTAGCTGCAGCATAGGTTTGACTCAGGATACAGCAGCTTCTTCTGCTCTCTCTTGCCCTGCTTGGAGACGCCGGCCTCCTGGTCCTGCCAGTAGCACAGTTTGGTGCTAAACTGGATGTGAGGGAGGTGGCACTCCATAATGAAGAGGTGGGAGGTTGTGTTCTGCCCCCTGTTTTTCTAGCCCCCACCTCTTGCTGGTTTTTCTCTCTCTCCTTCCCCCTAGCCTCCAGTGAACCAAGATCTCCACACTTGGCGTCTCAGGTGGTTTGAGATGTCTCCACTAGGACCGAGGAGCAGGAGTGGATCTACTATGAAACAAATGAAGTTTAAGCTTCAGGGCCCCTAATTCCAGAGGGGCCCCAGAAGTGACTTTAGTCCACATTGCTTAATTTTTCTTAGGTCAGTAGACCCAATTTGAGTTGCATGACTTGAAAACTATAAGGTGTAGGAAATCTTTATTCACACCAGTGACTTTGACATATGAGATAATCCAGTACAGCAATTTTAATCAAAATCTTGAGTTGTAGTAGTTATTTTTCTTAAAAAATAAATAAAATTGTGGTGATCTGTCATGGAACAACCCCGTTGGAGAAGATAAGAAGGGTTACCCATACCTTGTTGTGGGTTGTGAGGGGGACCCTATAACAGTTCAAGCTCCAGGGCCCTCAAAATGTAGGTCTGCCACTGCCAAGGAGCCCTTGAGGGCTTGCCTACAAATGAGTAGGGAGTGTAAGGAAGGGTGTAGCGGGGAGTTTTGGAGCCATAATTTGTCTTGAGGGGTCAGCGTTGCAGACTCCCTGGCCTCAGCCCATGAGCAGCCCAGAGCAGCGGCAGTGGGTGGGTGGGTGGCGAGTAAAAGATGGCTTGGACTTTGCTTTTGGTGTCAAATGCAAACTCCACAGCCCTGCTCAGAGTTGGGAAAGCCATTTCAGATCTCCAGGGGCCGTTTGAGCCCCTCCGCCTTCCTCTCCCGTGGCAGAAAAAGCTCATCAGGAAATTAGCCTTCTCCCCTTCCCTTCCCTTCCCTTCCCTTCCCAGCCAACCACCCCTCTATGTTTTCATTGGCTTCACAATAAATTCAGAGCAACCTCCTTGTTGCAGTCTCCGGACAGTTTCTTAAGGTACCTCACCTTAAGTGTGTGCTTGTGTGCAGGGGGATATCTCTTTGCCCCCCCCAGTCATAATTGGTTACATTTTTGTTTTCTCATAGCCTTCATGAGGGTCCTGGCCAACTGTTAGCTTGTACCTGCGGCCTCATTAGGGAGGGCAAGATGCCTCTGTTCCCCAACAACGCCTGCACCATTTTCTGAACTTGTTCTTGGGTTTTATCTTCAAGAGTCATTTGTTCCTCTCCCTCCGCCCCAACTTCTGTGGAGCCCAAGAAATGCCTCATGCATGCAAGAGTGCTTGTGTAGCTTTTGAAGAAATGCAGGAGTGCCTGCGTAGCTTTTGGAGAACAAATACAAATAATGAATGAATGAGCACCACAATCATCCCGCCGCCCTTTTCGTTGGCCTTCTATCTTATTATTCACTCGTCCTCTGAAGGCTCTGCTCCCCCGTTTCTGCCACATACCTCTCCTGGGTCTTATTTGACAGCAGCATACAGAGAATGTTTTGCCAAAATGGCACCTTATTGCACTGACACTGAACCAACAATAGCGCAAGTCTGAACACCAAGAGCGAAATGCAAAGGTGTTGCGTAATGAATCGTAGACTAGTCCAACCCCCTGCAATGCCGGAATCTTTTCCCCAATGTGGGGCTCGAACCCACAGCCCTGAGATTAAGAGTCTCGTGCTCTGCCAACGAAGCTATGCCAGATATTCCCCCTGCCCTCAACTGGAGAGCCCTTTGAGTCTCCCTCTCTCCCTCTCTTTCTTTTTCATCTACTCGGAAGCCTTCCTTTACTTCCCTGTCACCCTAATTGATTGCATTAACCTTTCAGCGTATTGAATTTCTCCGGCATCATGCAGAGAGATCTGTGCAATATGCTTATAATCTGGGCCATAATGGACAGGGAGCAGTCGACAAACCCCCTTTGCCAACAGGTTCCCTGACAGATTGGCTTTCCGAAAACGAGTGGCCGGTGGGGGTAGGGGGTTGGTCTGAGGCACGATGGAAAGGGCACGACATGAGTATCATTTGCACCTCTGGGTGTGTGGGTTTTTTTTGGGGGGGGGATTGATGTAGAAATGCAAAGCAGCCCTGGAAGTGCTGAGTATTATGACGGCTAAGTCCACCTTATTTTTACGGCCAGGTCTTCATGAGCAAAATTTTCAGCGGGCATATTTATAAACGTAGAAAATTATGAATGGTGTGGGAGCATGGCTGGGACAGGGGGGCTTTTCTCAGACTCACATAACACTGAAACTCAAGATGGAATCAGTTGGTGGTCTAGACACAGGGCTGGCAAAAGGAAGGGCTGCTTGCAGCAGAGATGTGACGGTGGACAGTGTCTTCTAGTGGTTAGTGCGTCGGGGTAGGATCGGGGGACCCAGGTTCAAATCTCTCCTTGGCCATGAAGCTTGTTGGGTGACCCCCAATCCAGTCTACTATCTTGCAGCCTTATCTGCCTCATAGGGCTGCCATGAGGATACAATTGCTTTGGGGAGAACTATGCATTCCAGTTTGAGGTCTTACGGAGGAAAGGCAAGATAATAAATGCAATAAATGGCCACCTGCTTAGCTTGCGTACACACCGCGCATTTAAAGCGCATTGAAAGCAACCTGCTTACTGCAGTTCCTGAGAACTGTTATTTGCCCCTTACAGAGCAACAATTCCCAGCATCCTTAAACTACAGTTCCCAGGATTCTTTGTGGGAAGGCATGTGCTGTAAATATGGTGTGCATGCAGCCTCAGCTGCTGTTTTATTTAAGTGGTCATAGAAACCAATCAGCCCATTCATGACAGCTCACATATAATTGCTGAGCAGAGCCTCCATGTGCAGCAGCACTCTACCTCTGACAGCCGGATACTGGGAATGAACAACAGGAAAAGGCCTTGCTCTTCCTGTTATTACTCAGGAGGGTCACTGTATGGCAGGATTCTGGATGCTCTTCTTTCCCTTAAGCATCTAACTGTTCTTTTGAAAGGGTCTGTTAAAACCAAAGCAACCAATTGCGGGAACTTGCCCAGAGCTGGCTTCTATTGCTTTTTTTAAAAAATGCAGGTGGAGCCTAGAGCGTAAACTGAAACCGGAACAAAAGCAGGCAGCCAAGCTGATCATTCCGTCATTTTTTTGGTCTGGGGGGCTGGGAAGCATGGAGGGGCTTGGGCAGCTCAAACGTGGTTTGTTTCCCTGTTAAATCTGGGTCCCCTTTAGTACTGTGGAGACTCTAAAGTGTGCTTGCACTTGTGTCTGCAAGGGCTGCCTAAGCTCGTCTTTAGAGGCTGCCCTAACAGCTCACGACGGTGGTGAGGATGAGAATGTTTCCTGGCACCAATAGATAGATATTTTATTGACAGTGTTTTAAAACGTATAAAAGAGCAACTGGAAGCCCATATGATGGTAAATTTGCCAAGATCTCCCGTAAATGCGAGGGTAGCTTTTCTCTTTATATATAAAACGTCTCTTCCCCAACCTGGGATGGGATGTTCGACTGAGCAGGGGACATTCTGGAAAGAGGAGTCTGCGGACGGAATCACCTTGAAGCATTACCCTGGGCAAAACTCTGTGATGGGCAAAATTTTGAGGAGCACAGAGTTGAGGCTTGTGGTGTCATTCATTCATTCATTGCATTTATATCCCACCTTTTTCTCCATGGTAGTGTACATGATTCTTTCCCCGCTTTCATTTGTTCCACACAACAATCCTGAAAAATAGGTTAGGCTGAGAGGTTGTGACTGGCCCAGTGAGAGCTCCATGGCAGAGTGGGGATTTGAACCATAGTCTCCCAAATCGTAGTCCAGCACTCTAACCACTGCACAACACTACCTCAGAGATTACATATTTCACTTTGGAGAGGGCTTCTCTCCAGCGGAGAAGCAAAACCTTCACTTGCACGATACATTTTTGGCATGTGCGTTGGTACCAAAGCTTGACACCATCTTGCCTACCGGAAGTGGGTGACGAGCGTTCAAAAGAAGCGGTGTGTGTTGGTGTGTGTTAGAGAGGATGAGAGTTCACTGAGATGAAGCAAAGGAGGGAAGAATGGAAAAGAGGGATTCAAAGAAGACGGCAGCACCTCTGAATGGAAGAGTAAACAGGCGCTGGGCGGCATTAAGTTAATTGATTGCTCTGCAACAGGCGGAACACTGTGTTATTCTGTCGCCGTGGCAACAACCCCCCAAAATTGTCAGCCTGTTCGGATGAAGTGAAGCGAGACATTGTCTAATTTGCGGTGATCTGGGTGTTTGTTTTTCCTTCTGAGGGGGCGGGGATCCATTGATCTGTTGTTTGCTCAAAACTCTCGCTCTAGTTCTTTTTTCTTTTTTTAGAATAATCATCATAATAACATTTTCTTTATTAAAAAGAAAATCAGAGGTGGTTGGAAGCAGGGGGGTGGAAATGTTGATTGTTTCCTCAAGTTACCTTGGTTTCGTCACATGGGCTGCAGAGGTGAAAAACAAAAAAAGTCATCTCCTTGCTTAACCTCACCGGGGAGGGAATTAGGAGCGTTGCTGAAACTGGGAGTTGATTCATATCTTCCTCATGGAAGCCATGCAAAATTTCAGCTTAGCGATCCAAAACATCTTGTTTTCTTTGCCAGGGCAGGAGTTGGATGAGTGGGAATTAAAAGAAAGCAATATCCAACATGTTCTTTAAAAGAAAAAAGAAAACCTTTCCCGAACAATTTTAATTTAACAATTCAGTATTTATTTGCCAGCTGAGTTCCAAGTGCTGTATAAAAGATTGATCCAGAGCAACTTCTGCTTCCAGGTTATATAGTCTATGCCAGCTTATAAGACCCTTTCTATTGTCCCCACCAACTGAAAGTGTTGGAAACTCAGATCTATAAGCTAATGGCCAAATTGCACCTTAAGCCTAGGTTACAGTCGCCACAACGGACTGTCTAGATGCTTTTTTTGCAGTGAGATGGTGATGGTGATTCATTTCACTTACACACCGCTTTATATTGTAAAGAAAAAAAATCTCAGAGTGGTTTACAACACATTAAAACATCAAGTAAAAGAATCCAGACTAAAACAAATGCAAGCGTCGAGGAAAATATTTCAGATCCTTCTCTAAGTGACATTTTGCTTTCCCCATATTTACTTACCAGCTTAATTTATAGAGCTGCCCCATTGCAGAAGTACTCTAAGAAACCAGTGTGGAGTAGTGGTTAAGGAGTGTCAAACTAGGACTTGGGAGATCAGGGTTCAAATCCCCACTCAGCCAAGAAGCTCACTGGGTGAACTTTAGCCAGTCACAGCCTCTTAAACTACCTCACAGTGTTGTTGTAAGGATTAACTGAGGGGGTGTGTGAACCATGTACTCCTTGGAGGGCTATAAATAGGGGGGAAAGCTCTAATGCTGACGTGCTTAAGAAGGCTGGAGGTACCAACCAAATGGAGATATCAGTCGCTGACCTGGCATCCAGAGACGTGGTCGCAATTGGACCCACACCAGTCGCAAAATGCGCCTAGAGCTTGGGGGATTTTGAGCGCTGGTTGGGGACAAGAAGAAGCTGAGCAGCCTAACTCTTTAGAAGGAGAAGTCAGTGGTTATTCATTTTCATTTATTCCAATAACATATATTCACCTGCCAAAAGGCACTCTAGGCAGACGTAACACGGCTTACTGACACATCATGAATAAAAGAGTACGGTGCGGCAGGAAAGCAAAATCACAGGAGAGCAAAATCTCGGGTTCTTCACCACCATCATCCTTGCTCTCACTTCACAGTGACTCGGTGGCCCGGTTAGCATTTAACACAAAGCCGTGGTTAGCCAAACCATGATTTGTCTATCACTCAGCTGATTCAACAAAACCATGCCTTGATTCTCCAAAGTTTGGTTTCATTTTCCAGCTGCTTCTGCCTTTGGAGCTTGGCTAGTGGCTATGGTGGGTTGGCCAAGCAAGCCATGCTTAAGGAAGGCTGCTCATATAAATCAAGCCCAGGTTCATAAAGCAACAACAAAAACTTGGCTTCAGATCATGGTTTGTTGGCAGTAAACAAACCATAGTTCAGGCACAAGGCAAGGGTCACCCACAATGCTATGCCGTGGTTTAATTCACCACAGTTTATTAAACCCTGGATCAGTGTGTGAAGAGAGGGTCTTTAAATATTCCCATTTTACAGGATGGTAGAACGGAGACTGAGAGAAGGTTCCCACCACAAAGACCACACAGTGGACATTTAGCAGAAAGACCTGAGGCTTATATCCAGATCTCCCATTTCATGGGCCTACAGTAAATCAAGTAGACAACAGCCAAATCTCCCCTTGCTCTCCCCATGAACCTGACCCTGCCCTTAGAGCACATGGTTGACTGTGGAGTATTGGTCTCCAAAGTGGAGCTATCATTTATTTTTTTGTCTGGATCATAATACACTGGTGCCTATAAGCCGGAGAGGAATATGGCATGGGGAGGAACCCATTTATCCCCTGGATTCCTTGTTCTTCCTCTTCTCCTTTCTTCTGAATGTATTTCCTCTTCCATACTTCTTCCCTTTCCTCCTTTTCTGCCCCTTCCCTTGTTCATCATACGTTCCTCTAGATATCAGGTCCTACGATCTAGGAAAACACACACGTGCGCGTGCGCGCACACACACACAATCTAGCTGAGATTCCTGTATTGCAGGGGGTTGGACTGGATGCCCTTTGGGGCCCCTCCCAACTCTACAGTTATGTTATTCCTTTTTTCCACCCTCTCCCACTCAGCTGTTGCATGAACTTCAACGGGGGTTACCTTGCAGGGTTCAGGTTTGGTGGCGGTGGTGGTGAGTTGGGGCAGCGTCTGGTGCTAAACATCATCTCCCCACCGAATCCCAGAATGGAGTGTGTTTTCCTGGGGGCGCTACAGTTCTGCGGGTATGATGCACATTTGTGTTACGTGTGCGTTGTTTGTGTGTGTGTTTTCGAAAAAAGAGCAAACTGTTTGACTGGCAGAAGCAGCAGTTGAAACGAGGTGGTTATTGGCGTCAGGAAAAGCTAAATAACCCTGTAACTGGTATGAAGGTGAATTCATGGTCTGGTGAGCACTGAAAATATGAGAGTTCTCTAGACAGGCAGCGTGGAGCAGGAAATAACACTGCAGAAGCTTCCGAGGAAGCCTGGATAGCCAAGGGCAGGGCATCAGGACAAGAGGGGTCTGCTAGCGGCTGTGTAAGCAGGGTGGCACATTTTTATATCGCCTGGAGCGAAATTCAGAAATCTGATCAACCTCATTTTTTAAAAAAAGGAAGGAAGGAAGGAAGGAAGGAAGGAGCAGCAAGTTGCTAGTTCTCAGGCTTCTGGAGAACAGCTTGAAAACATCTCCAGTGGGGATGGAGGGGGCGTTGTTTGGTTCAGTTTGCATTTAAAGGTTTGTGCTTTCTGAGACAATACGGCCGCCAACCAAAACACAGCCAAATTTGCACTTTCCAAATTTTGCAATGTGGTTTTCTGGCCAAGTAATGTGCACAAAAATGCACATACTAGGGTAAAATGTGTCTAGAAATTCACGTTTTAGTGAAAATAATTTAGAAAAATGTGTTATATTAGTGAAAACCAGGCTCATAAGTTGATGTGGAGAACTGAAGCAAATACAATGAGAAAAAGGAGAAAGTGAGAGAAAACTGAAATTAAATTCTCCCATCTTTAGTCTCTGGGCCTGGCCTTTTCGCCTGTGCTGCCCTTCCATTTTGCCAGGAAATTTCCAAGAAAGCAAACTGTGGAAATAAACAAAGCAAAACTGTTTGCAGGTATTACTCCTACGCAGATGCAATCTCCTTGCAGGGAAGGAGAAACAGATTTTAAAAAGAGAGGAGAAAGCCCATTCTTCGCCTTTGTATATATGATACACAGCCACAAGAGGCTTTTATCTCTGCTACGAACACATGGATCAGGGCTGCTGCTGGCAGCCATATAAAATTATAGGGCGACACTTTGTACCTGATGGTATAGGGAGTTTCCCCTGCAAGGGGATTCTATCAGGGCAAGTAGTGGGAGGGGAGGAAGAACGCATGAAACAGCCTTTCATTGGCATCAGTAATGCCGGTGTGTTTTTCTCCAGAGTGGCTGCAAAGTGCATGAAACCCTTTGAACAATGGATTGGGGGCTATAGTAGGAACAAAGTGTATTTTGGGGAAAGGGGGCACGCTTTGCCCCCAACGTTAGATTTCTGAAAGATTAGGTTAGACGTTAGATTTCTGGCATATTTCATGTTAATGCTCCCATCTGAGACACATTTTTCTATAGGTTGTTTCTGCTCAGAGCAGACCCATTTAAATGAAAGGATGTAGCTAACTTAAGGCCATCCATTTCAGTAGGGTCTACTCTGAGCAAACCCACTTGGATCATCTCTTCTGAAGTCCTCTTGATTTTGATGGAGTTAATGCAAGTTAAGCAAGCTTAGGACTGCCACGTCCTTTTAATTCCCCGTATTTTATTATTCAGTCATAATACACATTTGTGAAAAGGGCTTTCCACCAAGCAACCACAGCGAGACAGCAGTTGTGGGGCAGCATGTTTTCCTCCCCCCCCCCCCACTTTGCCACCTCTGCATAGATGTCAGCTACGTTGGTCTTGCAGAGTTTGGGCTGAATGTGCTCCACTCACAAGTATGTTCCATAAAGTACATAGAATCATATAATTGTAGAGTTGGGAGGGACCCTGAGGGTCATCTGAACCAACTCCATGTAATGCAGGAATCCTGCCCACAGCTGTCGCTGGCTGGGCTCCAACCACCAACCTTCAGGTTACAGCCAGCCGCCACATGGATGACCCATTGTGCCACATGGATGCACAGACAAGCTGGACAATGCTTGCTTGGAGCTCCATGGCTCCTGCCTGGATAAAATCTGTGCTCCTTGTTTCTTGCCTAAGTTGCACGGACCTGATGACTTTGCAAGCAGAACCCTCAAAGTCTGGCTGGAGCAAAAAAATTGTTTCATTTTATTCCTTAGGCTTTTACCCCAATATTTCCCCCGAGGAGTTGCAAGCAACGTATGTGTCTCTCTCTCTCCACTTCCTGCCCGCTTCTAGCAACTATACCCTCACAACAAGCCTGCGGTGCTGGTTGGCCGAGAGGTAGCAAGAGCACCCAGCGAGCCTTGCAGTTGAAGGAAGGATTCCAGCTTCGCCAGCCCAAGCTTGACACTTTAATCGTGACACCACACTGGCTCCCAAAAGGGACTCTGATTAATTGGTGGCAAGGATCTGGGAATTCCGCAGTGCCCGTGTTAACATTCCAGGGCGAGACGGCAAGCAAGGTGTGCAAGTGGGCCCAGTGCCAACTCTCTTGTGCGACCCACAGCAGAGGCAGGAGCAGCGGCCGACCAACCCCCGAGCCTCCCCCTTCCTGGCTTTGGGCTTTTTCTTACTCATTTATTTACTATTATTTCCCCCACCCGCTTGCCTGGCACTGTAAGAAGCAAAGCGAGCAGGGAGGCGGAAAGCAGGAAAGAGAAAAAAGGATTTAGTAGTAACAATCCTAAACATTGCAAAACTTTTTTTTATATATCCTTTTGAATAATGTGTCACAGAAACTGATGGATGATAAAGGGGGAGAAAGGGCCCTGCGAAGAATCCGGCTCAGCCAGTTTCTCTTATTTATTAAAGAAATAAAAAAAAAGCTGAGATAATTAACTTTTTTTGTTTTGTTTGCGGGCGACTCCCCAGACTGGCAACTCCAGGGCGCCTGGCAAATGGAGCTTGGTATCAGCTCTGCCAGAGTGGCACAAAGCAAGCCGGATCTGCCTAGTGACTGCCTCGAAACTGACGGAGTTTGTTGGTTTCAAGAGGCCAGGAAGAATTCCCAGATTGCAGGCAAGGATCGGGAATCCCTGACATCAGAAGGAGCCCCTTGAGTTCCAGCTTTGTCTTTGCAAAGCCATCCCAGTCGAGAAAGTGGAACTGTCTCAGCCTTGCTGGGTGTCACCAGAACTAGGGAAAAGCAAGCAGCATTAACTACTCCAGCTGGGGACATTGGGGATTCCAACCTTCCTTGTGTACGCATCCCATATATGCCTAGGAGTAGATATTTCCGCAGTGGAGCTAAAGTGTTTCCCTATCCTTTGCTTTACCTTTAGAAAAGGGATAGAGTAGTTCATTGCTTTTATACCAGCCTTTCCCAACTTGGTGCCCTCCAGATGTTCTTGAGCTCTATCTCCCATCAGCCACAGACAGTATGGCCAGGGATGATATCTGTAAAGCCCACGGGGAGGCTGCTCTAGGTCAGGGGTAGGGAACTGGCGCCTCAACCCCACAAACTTCAGTTTCCAACATCCTTGACTGTTGGGCATGCTGGCTAGAGCAGATGTGTGCTGGAGTTCAAAAACATCTGGAAGCCTTCAGGTTCCCCATCGTTTTTCTGGAACAGGGCTAACCAGTGTGATGCTCTGCAGATGGAGGGCACCATGTTGGAGCAGGGAGGGGGATCTGACTCTAGACCAGGGTTTCCCAAACTTGGGTCTGCAGCTGGTTCTGGACTACAGTTCCATCATCCCTGACCGCTGGTCCTGCTAGCTACGGATGATGGGAATTGTAGTCCAAAAACAGCTGGAGACCCAAGTTTGGGAAACCCTTCTCTAGACAAATGGATTTGCAGGTCTTAAACTACAAGAGGGCAGGTTTTGGTTGACATCAGGGGAAGCCTAATGGAACCAGTTACCTAGAGTGCTGGTAGGGTGGGCACTCCCTTGCTGGGGGTCTTAAAGCAGGAGGTTTGGGGCTGCTCTAGATCTCTGGGTTCCTAGAGGGAGCTGGACGAGTTGACTAGCGAAGCCCTCTCCAACACTACGGCTCCATTATTCTTTATCTACAGTGTGGAAAGTCAAACTGGGGAGTGTGGCGGGGGAAGGAATGAGATATTTCTGTTCTTCCCTTTAGTTCTGGGATCAGGCACACAAAACTGAGTGATGGCAAGGTCCAGCCTGAGATAACTGATGAAGCAGGAAGGTGCTTCAAGCAGTGGAGGTGGAAGTGGGTGGTAGTGGTAGAGCAGTGAAACTTCAGGCCGGGGGGGGGGGGGGCAGGCAACTGTGGCCCTCTAGACCTCTCTGTCTGGCCCTTGGAAATCTCCCCACACTAGAAACCCCTCACTAGCTTTGCTTTGCCTTGAGTGTTTTTTGATACGCCCTTGAATCCTGACCATGTCTTTTGCTTGTCTGAATGGTGGAAGGGGGGTGGGTGGCGAGAGTGTGCGTAGAAGGCAGCCTACTGCACAAAGGTTTTTAAATATATATACACTTGTTGACCTGCCCATTTTTGCCTCTGGGCCTCCCCCAAAAGGTTGCCCAGGAAAGACCCCGGCACTGTGGTAAAGGCCAGCAAACAGATGAGGGAGATCAACTCAACTCAAGATCGGGTTTGCCTGGACTGAGGGAGCACCAGCAAATCCTGAGGCTATATAAGCTGACAGTGGTACTGGATTGGCTCTTTAGTGTTCTGTGATTCCCAAGAGAAAGAGGATATTAGTCTGTGACACGTTTGTGCTTAAAAGGACTTGAATTTCCCACCCTCCTCTGACCAGTGGCCTCTGAGTCAGCTGCACAGCAGGTAAACAAAGAACCAAAACCCTGATGTCTAACCTGCAAGGTCTTAATGGATTGATTTTGTTCAAGCATCATTTTGAGGGAGGATGGTCCATTTCAGACACTCCTAGTTTTTCAGCACAAAATGTGCCGTCCTCTCCCTTGCTTTTAGCCTTTGGCAGAAAACAAAGCTTTTTCATTTAACATATGCTGTGGACCAAAAAGACTGGGAGGATGTTTTTTTAAAAAAAGGTTTTTCTTGTAATTTCCCCTTTCTTTTTATTTTTTGAAACTCAAGGATGTGTCATTTTTTTTGTTTCAATTTAGCATTGGAGAATTTTATAATTTAGTAATTAAAATCTCTGATAGGCTTTAGAAATTGCAGCTAATTGAATTTAATGGGAAGATGATTTTCAATTTTATTTGATTACCCAGACCCCTGGCATTGGTATTTATGGGGAAAAAATGGGAAATGTGCAGTGTGGGCTAAGATGGCATAATTGAATTAGGGCTAATCGGATTTCTTCGTCATGAATTTCACTATAATTTTCCTATAATTTTCCATTAGATATCTAGTTTACAAATATTCACAAAGAAATGAAGCTCTTTCGGAATGGAGATTGCTGGCTAACAGGATTACCAAGGCGATTGCATGGTGATGCCAAGCCAGCCTCCTTCGATAATGCAATCGCTACGTCTGCCTCACACTCTCCTCCCCCCAGTCCTCCACTTCTGCCTTCCCCCCCCCAACACCCCAAGATCCTTGGTATCACCCTGGCACCACCTTATTTCCTTCATTTCCATTTATTTTGCTAGTTATCCACATGTGCTTTTAGTCTGAGAACTCATGCTTAACATCAGAAGTGATGGGGGGACCTTTTTTCCATCAGAGGGCCACATTCCTTCCTGGGCAAGCTTCCAAGGGCCATATGCCAGTAATGGGTGGGACCAGAGTCGGAAATGGTCAGAACTGGTTGTTGGAAACAGCAGGAGGACATTTAGCACAGTTTGCGCTAAAGTGCACACCCCAGTGGCGTAGCAGTGATTGCCCCGGTTGCATAATTCTGAAGGGCGCAAC